TTCATTTCATTGAACTCGCTTAAGATTTTATAAGGCATAGTATTTTGAAATACACTGCAATTATTATGAAACCAATTTTTTTATACTATTTTTTAATATATACAGCCATATAAATATATATAGGACACGAAATTTCATATGTATATTATTTGATTCTAAATATTGCCCAAAAACATTTATTCTGTAACAATTAAAATCTTTAGTGTCCCCAAAGAGGACTAGATTATCAATTAAAAAGGGCTATATTGTCACTATATTGTCAAAAAGGGCTGTATTATTACCCTCCTATTGACCTCTTAAACACAAAAAAAAAATTTAACAAAAATTAAACAATATCATCCACTCTTAAGACAACAGCTTTCATTTTTCTTTACATTAAATTTTTTTCACAAACTGCTGCTCGTGATAATTTCTTTATGTCATCAAGTATTCTGAGTTACTTCTTGCTAAGGATATTCTCAAACACTCTCTCAAGCAGAATGTTTTCACTCGTTGGAAGAGTCAAATTTTTTTTTTGTAATTATTATCATTCCAGTTAAATGCCAATAATTTTAAGTCCATTCTTGCTAAATTAAAGCAGATGAACAAAATTTAGCAATTGAACAACGTTACAAAATTTTGTGTGATGTTGAATAATTTTTGCATCCTTTTTACAAGACTACTTTGCAACTGTCTCATGACAATGTTCCAACATCCCCTGACGTATGGCTTTTACTCTTTTGTTTACAGCCCGTCAAAAAAAAATTAATGGGTTAAACAGTGACATTATGCGTCATTTAGTTTCAAACTACCCAACTCTGAGCAATTTTTGCAACACTGTTTAGAAAATAGGCGTGAACTTCCAACTAAATGCTCATCAGTGGTACTCTTTGATAAGACCTTAAGGGCATCTTGAGGCACCTAAAAAAAAAAATTACGCATCTGAACTTTAGTTGTTACCAAATTGAACTTAAACTGCGCTTAAGACCAAACCGAATGGAGATTGAACTTTAGATATAACTAATCCGAACCGAGCTTAAACTTTAATAGAAGGGTTAACTTGACATCTTTAGTTGCAACTAAGTTAAAATTTATCTTTTTTGGATCTGTTTAGCGTATATTATAATTGTTTTGATGAAGCTAAATACACGCCAATATTAATTTAGGCCTACTTGTTTTGTTAATGTATTTGAAGTACATCAACGTTAATTTGAATAATATGCCCGTTAATTACCTTAGTATGTCAAGAGTTTATAACTATTACAAAACTTTACAGAAATATAGTATTTTTAATTAAAAAAATCTTTTTACTAGGCTGACTTTTTTGATAAATATGCAAAAATTAAAGCAATTAAATTTGTAGATATTTATACCTTAAATTACAATTTCTAATATTCTTAGCTTTTCAAAGTTTTGTTTTAAAAGTAATTTGTTTAGTTTTTAAATAATAACCTATATAGTATAACGGAAATAATTAAAATGCTTTCTGACTTAATTTAATCTAACGCAATCTCTACTTTGCTAATTCTAACTGAAGTAATTTAATCCTGTTTTTGTTTTATTTTCTTAGAGTACGCCTTAATAAATTATATTATTTTTAAGTTGCAGAACAAAGAGTTTTTAAGCGATTAAAAAAAATAAATGACTAAGGTTGAAAGAACAACAATTTTAACAAGTTTATTAGTTTCTAGTCTTAGTTTAGAATTTAAGCAAATGTATAAACGTCAGCAAATTAATAAACAAGAAATAGTAGTGTTTTTGTATGAAATACCAACACTGTTTACAAAACTCTACCCAGCTAAAAAGTAACGTTCAAAAAATATTGCTTAAACGTTCGGTTAGGTTAGCGTAACGTGCTGCAAAGGTTATGAACCAACTTTTGTGATCTCAAATTTACCGTTCTTGAACATTAAATACGAACCACAGTGAACCAGGTGGTGGACAAAAGTAAAAAAAAATCATGACATTCTTATACATTGTTTTGTAGTTTAAACATCCATTTTTCATAAAATGTATATATTTTGGTATAATTATCATGCGGTTTGCATTTTAAACTGTTAACATTGAAGTAATTTTTTTTTCAATATAATAATTCATTTTTTTGTTTCTATAAGCATTAAATAGTTAACATTTTTATAATCTTTTTTATTTTTTTTTTTGCATAGGTAAATAAAATAAATTATTATCTTGCTAATAAGTTATAGCAACACTATTTTGCATTTAAGTTATCTTAAATAAAACAATTTCTAATGACTGCATATTTAAATTACTTTTTTAAGTTAAAATTTCCCCAATTTAAGTCAAATACTTTTACGGCCCAAGGTGGTCCATTAATTTGAGACTTGAAATAAGTTGTCAAAGATATATATTATTTATATGATTTTGATTTATACTCCGCGGATGTCCGCCAAGTCTCTATAAATATTTTTTACAAGTTACAGTAGAACATAATCATTATAACCCTCTTAAATACTTAAATTTTTTGTATATATAACTAAAATTGGTTTTTAGAAAAAATTAAAAAAAACTCTTTATAACCTGAACTGTTGCTAAATATTTCAGATGTCCCTATTAACAAAATTAAAAAATAGAATAGTGCCACAACATTTGATTATAAAAAGTACTCAATCTAGTAATTATGGGGGTAACCCAAAAAATAATTTAGTAGTTATTTTATTTATCCAGTTATTATTGATTTTGGGTAATAAAATATGTGGTTACTGAGTAATGTAAGTAACCAAAGCAACTCAAAAATAAAACAAACGTCACTATTGAAACCGCAATCTTAAAAATAGTAAACTGTGCAAAAATGGTCTCTAAATTTTCATTATATAACGAGTTATTAGTTTTGTCCAGTAAAAGTGATTACTGGCCCACTGTGCAACCGTTCAAGTAATAAACAGCAAACGTTTACTTAACGTTCACTGCAAATGTCTTTTTAATAACTTTTGAATGTTCAGCCAAAATAAGCAATAATGATCACGGAAGTTTAATCAACGTATTCGTTTTTTTAAATTTTTAATCGTATGCATGTATAGGTTTAGATCAATTTTCTGTTTTGTCATTTTCTCGCTCGAAACAAAACTTCTTTTCTTTC